GCATTCCCATTCCTTTGGGTTAGTAACTAACCCTCTGTGTGCACTAGCTTCTTCATTGGCAAAATGAAAAAATAACATTACCCATCTGATAGAGTTATTATAAAGACAGAAACATTCATATATGTAAAGTGCTTAGAAGAGGACATAGCACACTATTATGTATTTTGACACTATTTTCCTATTATTTCAATAGGGCTATAATTTATAAGTAAATAATTGAATAATTTATATTCAATTAAATTATTTAAATACATTAAATTATTCAAATAAGTATGAAAACATGAGGTGTGGCTAGCCAGTTTTCCCAGCATAATTTATCAAATAGGGTTTCCTTTTCCCAACTTCTGTGCTTGTATACATTGTTAAAGATAAAGTGTATGTGTATGTGTATACAGTTCCTACAATTTTTCACTGATGGGGTGGATGATTTAAAAAATCTAGAGATCTCTCTTTGAGGCGATGAGAATCATTTTTATCTAACAACCATGACATTGGGTTGCGTTTGTTGATGGCTCTGATTTTATAAAAATGGAGCAGGTTTTAGTATCAACACTACAGAGAAAACATTCAAGATACAAAGAAACAAAGCCTCAGACAGGCACCCAGCTCCTTTCTAATTATTAACATTTTCTGAGGCTGGTCTACTGGAGAGCTGAGCTGCAATGAGAACACAGAGACTTTCCAGTCTTCAGAGCCCTGAAAAAGCAAATGATTCTGGAATAATTGCACTCTCTGCATTCTAGTAACGGATCCAGAGAGAGATTAATTTTGAAAATCAAGAAAACCTTGGAGATCCTTCAACTAAAGAGTTGTTTTTCCAGGGGAAAGGGAAGGAATAAAGTGAGATTCATTTTAATTCAGGATATATTTGCCAGATACTATCATTCTCTTGGGCCTCCAATTCTCAGTGTTTCAAATTAGAACAGTCTCAGTTAACCCACTGTTTGTCAGGCTGATGACTGACACCCAGTGTGGTCTCAGCCTTCCACTTTTGAGTTAAGTTTCCTTGGGAACCAGGTGTCTCTTGTGCCACTTCCCTTTCATCCCCCTTCTCCCCATGGACTTGAAGTGCCTCTTCTTCTCTGCCTAAGTGACGAGCAGGTTTGGGGTAGGGAGAGCCAAGGGTGGCCCATCTTCTTTCCAACCAGCCTTTCATGAACAGCAGATGGAATTCTACCTATAAGGGAATTCCACGTGTGGGTTTTATAAAACTCAGCATTGGCTCTGGCTCATGGATAAGTAGCAGTCTCTGTGTAGAATAAAATGAAGTGTCTGTATCCCGACTCTTAGCAAACGGCCACCCTCCTACAGCCACCCAGAGTAAACCAGATCATTAATTAGCCTGGCTGTCCAGGAGAAAGCTACATGTAAATTCTCCAAAACAAAAGAGAAAAAAACCCAAACCCCCCAAACCAGAATGATAACACTTCTTAACAACAATATTTACATAAATTGTATTGGAAAATAGATTTAAACATGTACAGAAGTAGAGAGAGAGGCATAATGAACCCTTTTTGTACTCATCACCCAGGTTCGAAGATGACCAGTCATGGCCAACCTTGTTTCAATTACAGGTCCCTCTGGCATGTTTTGAGGCAAGTCCCAGACATGGTATTATTTTATTTATACATATTAAAAACGGCCATTTAGGATATTGAAGCACATAGTGAATGGTAAGAGGCAGAGGAAATCAAACTAAGCCGAACGAAAAACATTAAGTGCACCTGTGAGATTATGTGAGACCTTTACAAAAGAATTGGGTAAAAAAAATGGCCAAACGGTAATCAGTCTCCCTATCCTGAGGCAGCCACTAGGGGCGCCTCTGATCATGAGTCTCAGCAATCGACCAATAAGTAAATTTAAAAAAAAAATTTTTTTTAGTGCTCTTTTGCACTCCAGTAATATTACAACCATGACTAAGGACACATTAAAGGAGGAGTAAGCTAGATCCTGGAATCTGGTTGTAGTCTCAGAGGGGATTCTGATGTTCCCATGAGCTTAAAGTGTGTAATTCACTCTTGGAATGATGGCATTACTAATTTAGATACATCAACCAGAAATTTCGAAATTTCTGGGAAATAGTAGCAGGGTTGGTATAGAAAAAAATAATAATGGCCAGTTTGCCTTCTAAAAAGGAATCTGCAGCCAGGCGCGGTGGCTGAAACCTGTAATCCTAGCACTTTGGGAGGCCAAGGCGGAAGAATCTCTTGAGCCCATGAGTTCGAGAAAAGCCTGGCCAACATGGTGTGTTTTCTCTACAGAAAATACACAAAATTAGCCAGGCATGGTGTGGGTGCCTGTAGTCCCAGCTACCTGGAAGGCTGAGGTGGGAGGATCACTTGAGCTGGGGAGGTTGAGGGTGCAGCGAGCTATGATCGCACCACTGCTCTCCAGCTTGGGTGACGGAGTGAGAATCTATCCCTAAAATAAATAAATAAACAAACAAACAAACAAACCTGGGGAAGTTTCCAGTGGCCATTAAGTTACTCTCAATTGTCACCCTGCTTGAGAGAGTAGACATCAATTCCCTTTTCTTCCTAGAGGTACAGTCTAAACAAGAAATGGTAAGCGAGTGACTTTGCTTTTGTTTTTGTTAGAAGCCTGAAATTACAGAATGGTTTATCCTGCACTTCTACACATTTGTTTTCTTCTTGCAGATCCTAAATAATTTCTTTATTTTACGCGTTTCACTCAAACAATTCTATTTTTCTCTATTGCCATTATCCTAACACATCATGTTCAACTTCCTTCTGCTTTTTAAAAATTCTAATCATTTCAATTTGGTGATTAGTGCCACAGGAAAAGATACAGTTTTAACATGAAAACAATTTTTCTTTCACCTAAGTAAACCATTAAAGACAATGGAAAGGAGAACAAATGTGTTTTTCGAAAGCCAGGATTTTTTTTTTCCCATTGTATCAGCTCATCGCAGACAGCATGTGTACAATTCACTTTTGACTGAATCATAATAAATATGAGCCAATATGGTATAAACTACTTTTTTATAATACAATACTCAACAATAAATTCCACTTATAACCTTAAATCAAATTGGTGCAGATGCAAAAATTATGTAAAACTGGTGGTACCTGCTCCTGACCTTGTGGGGGCCCTCCCAGATCTTGACTCAATAAACTTTTTCTTCCCTAATGATCTGGCAGTTATTCCTATCAAGAGAATACAATGGGGGTGCTGAGAAGTGGGGAAGTGAAGCAGTGATTCAGAGACCACCAGGGCCCTTAAGAAGATTAATTTGTATGAGGTACCTGAAAAGTTGGAAAAATCTCAATGCATTTCTGAATACACATATTCATTTTGAGCTGATTTCTGTTCCTCTGGTGCCCTGTAAAATTTCAAGGAATGTAGTTGAGGTCTGGAGATTTCCACAAAGAGATTAAGAGGGGCTATAAACCGAAGAAATAGTGGTTTTGTGTAACTGTTGGGCATGAAATATTTTCAGTACCAAGATGTCCTGACTTTCAGTATAGAAACTGAGTAAACACCTTGTAAACATTCAGGGAACATTTCTATTAATGCTTTTAATAATAGGGCACATGATTTAAATGTAAAAAGAACCTGTGTCTGTTATCTCAGAATAATGTGTGAGTCTGTTTTTATATTTATTTCATAAAGTAGCTGCTGACATGGCTTAGTTTTCTGTTAGCAAGGTCTGATTTTGCATTTTGTTTGGGAGTCAACCCATTTTGGGCTGCCAATAAGCATGTTTATTTACTATTCATTGGATTTTATTATCCTAACCAAACACTTACACTTGTTTCTCTACTTTTAGAAGAGGTTGGGTCCTTTCTATTGGGTCCATATGAAACCCTGAAATCTTCTCTTGCAATGTGTCAGTCATTCCCAGGTGGAGACAGAAAGACTATTTCTTGTCTCTTTCCTGTAGTGTAGACACTGGGCTCATTCTGTAAGAGCTTGGATGGCGATAGGGAGCTTATTCCTCTTGGGATGGTGAGGGTCTGGAATTTCATGGAGTCTTGCCCAAGATTTTGCTTACTTCTAGCTCAGAGCAGCCCCAGGGTGTGTGAGGAGCAGAGAGTGACTGAAGCAGACATACAGTCAGGTGGCCTGTGATGCAGCCTCATACCTGCTGCCTTAAGCTTCGTGGACTCGGGCAACCACCCTTACCCTCCTTGAGCCTGTGTTCCTCTCTGTAAAATAGGGATCATACTATTTACCTTCAGGGTAGACGTTAGGGTTAAACAAAAGGCCTTCCAAAGTGCTATGTAAAATATAAACAGTTATTTTACTATCATCATCTAGTTATATATAGAGTGGGCCGGTATCGCTGAGGGATACTGAGCTACAGACTTACTTGAGAGAGAAAGAAAGGACTGGAATTACAGAGAGATGGTTGGGACCTGGTCTTGATCCCAGGTATACCCGTTGCCTTTTGTTGGGTGTGGCAGCTGAATCCAAACTCTGTTCCCAGAGGAAAACTTTGTTTTATTGTTCTGCTGGAGTCTGAGGAATCCAAAGCGAATAAGACCCAATCCCTCATTTCTTGGTTTGCAGATGCCCTACAGAGAGAGATTCACAAGTTTGCAGGCACTGTGAGATCCCTGCTGAACTGCCATTCTTCCCTTTCTCCTTACCTTACCTTCAGCACCTTGATTGGCGTGTGTGTGTGTGTGTGTGTATGTGTGTGTGTGTGAATATGGCCAGCCATAAAGTATAAAATACTTTGTGGCTAAGCCAATCATAGTATCATACTATCCCTTAATGCAGTCTCACTTTCTCACTCAGCCTCTTTGGGGCATGTTCTTGTGGAACAGTTGTGGCTAATGAGACACAGGGAGATGTCTGTGAGTACAGATTTACCTCCCAGATGAAAAAAACATGTTTCTTCTGATAATCTTCTTCCTGCTTAACTGGAACAGTGGTGTGAGGGCATGATGTTAGAGTTCTGGCAGCCACCTTGCAACCATGAGTCAATTAGCAAGAGGATGAAAAGCCAATATACTGATGATGGTTGATTGAAGGAAGGAAAAGGCATGAGTTTTGAATAATAAAATTGAGCTACTGAAACAGTATTGAATTGATTCCCTTTCAGACTTATTTGTCTTTTGGTTGAAAGCCATTGTTATTCAGGTTTTGAGTTATTTGTATATAAACTCATTGGCTAATGAAATGCAATATTCAAAGCTGGGCATGGGAGATGTGGCATGAGGAGAATGGGGAAAGCCTTTACGAAGTTAGAAAGGGTGAATAATAATTCAGTAGACAAAGAAGAAAGGTCAGATGAACATTTCAATTACAAGAAACAGAATATGTAATGAGTCCAGAGGCACAGCATTGCATGGAATGTTTTGGATACTGTAAGTGGTCTAGCTTGGTTAGATGCAGTTGTCCTCAGGAGGACTACACCCCAGGGATAATTAGTAAATGTCATAATGCTCAGACAGTGATTCCAGTGTTTACTGGGAGGCATACTAAGTATCTTGCAGTGTAGCTTGTGAAACTAACACAGATATCATGCAGGAAACCCATGTGGAAACACGATCTGGGCTGTCTTCCTTGTGGACATAACATCACCTTTTGGGGAAATAAGACTTCATTCTTCAAATGCTGAGGAAGAAAAGGGGTGAGTTCATTATTTAGGGGAGAGAGACTGTAACCATGCTTAAATAGTGTCTGGGGTCCTCCTGACAGCCACTCCTTTGAATGCCATTAGAATGGTCTTTGTAAACATTTTCAATTTCTCATTTAGAGATTTGTCATTTTTGACATTTTTTTAAAAAGTGAACTCTGGAACAAGAAATAAACTATCCACATGAATGAAAAAAGTTGTTTTTATGTTTAGTACAGATACATCTCTTCATGCAATAGTTTAATTCCAACAGGAAAAACCACAGGCAAAACTAGTGTAGTTGATTTTTTTTTTTTAGGATTTTAAGGACTAAAGAGTGGGCATATTTACAAATTAAAAGAGGTTGAAAGCTTGCTTTTTGATTACAAAATAATACATGCACATGATAAAACTATACAATCTATACAATGAATGCTTCCTACAATTTTCTTCTCCCCAGATAAACACTATTAATAGATTGATAAATTAAAATATATTTATATTGATAAAGCAACATGTTACTTCCATGCAGGAATGGATAAGACCTATTTTTACATTATTTTGGGCAATGCACTATGTAGGAGCCATCTTTTATTTTTTTTTAATTATTATTATTATTATTATTTTTTTTTTTTTGAGACAGAATCTCACTTTGTCGCCCAGGCTGGAGTGTAGTGGGGCCATCTCAGCTCACTGCAACCTAAGCCTCCTGGGTTGAAGTGAATCTCCTGCCTCAGCCCCCACAAATAGCTGGACTTACAGGTGTCTGCCACCACACCCAGCTAATTTTTAAAAATGTTTTTAGTAGGGACAGGGTTTCACCATGTTGGCCAGGCTGGTCCCAAACTCCCAATCTCAAGTGATTCGCCCTCCTCAGCCTCCCAAAGTGCTGGGATTACAGGTGTGAGCCACTACACCTGGCCAGAGCCATCTTTTAAATACACAGTGGAGACTTTTCCAGGAGGAGGTCAAGAGGAAAACTGCTTTTTTTTGTTTTCCAGGTTCATAGGGCAGAGCTAATACTCAGCTTGCATGAAGCAGTCCAGCTGGCAGATGTGGTAAGCATCTCTTCTGATTGGTTGGGGCCTGTATCAGTGGTTAAGTATTTTGAATATTACCCCTCTACCATGGACTGAACTTTGTTTTTCCCACCAAATTAATAGATTGAAGCTCCAACCACTAAGTATGTGACTGTATTTGGTGACAAGGCCATTACAGAAGTAATTCAGGCTAGATGAGGTCATGTGGGTGGGGCTCTGATGGATAGAATTAGTGTCCTTATTAGTAGAGACATCAGAGCAATCATTCTCTCCTTTTTTCCTCTTGCTCTCTCTCTTCACCATGTGAAGAAACAGTGAGAAAGTGGCCATTTGCAACCCAAGAAGAGAGTTCTTATCAGACACCAACTCTGCTGGCATCTTGATCTTGGACTTCCCAGCCTTCAGATCAGTGGAAAAACGAATTTCTATTGTTCAAGCCCCCAAGTCCGTGGTACTTGGTTATGGCAGCCTGAGCAGACTAAGATACCTCCCATTAAATATTAATTCTCCCTGAAAATTCCAGCAGTTCATTTAGTCATCTTTAGGATATGGTAACTTGAAAGAGATGTTTTTGGTGGCCATTTGCAGCTTGTCTGTTATCTGTAATTACATAAAAGCAGATTGCAAGTTTAAATTTCGATTGCATCAAGCCTCTAGGTTCAGTGTATGTCACCTCTGTCCCCTCTGAACACCCTCTGGAAGAAGGCGTTCCTACTAAAGAGGAATTCTTCATCCAATTCCCAGCCAGGGGATAACCTCAGCCCGCAGCCCACAGCCCACAGACATCTTCCTTCCCCCCAGGCCCTAGAAAATCTTAAAGCATGGGTAAAGAAAAAAGGAAAATCTTCCCATTGGACATATCATGCCTCGCATGCCTTGCTATATGAAGATAAACCAAACAATCATTTGGGATAAATGTATCCTGGGGTGGGCCATAGGAAGGAGAGGAGAGACAGAAAAACAATTTGAGCCAAATTATAGTTGTTGCAAAAATTTGCATTTGTCCTTGATTTTCCATTAACAAACATTTGGTCTGGCTGTCCATGAAGGATATTTTCCTTTTGTGTGTTCAGAAATAGGTGAATGTGTTATGTAATAAGTGTTGACAGGACACACATAAGCCAAGTGATGTTAGAACTTCCATTTTGTTTTGTTTTCAGTTTGGATTTATTTGAAATCTCTTGGCTTGATGAAAATATTCTTAAAGAGAAATTCGCTTATCTTTCTTGGGGCTTTCTTGTATTAACCTAAAGATGACTTTATTTTACACCTATTAGATATTTTTCTTGATAGGGTTCTTCAATATTTCTTATAAAAATAGTTTATTATTATTCATTTTTACCTCCTTTTGAATAGCTTTTGAGAGATTCCTTATATACATATGAGATCTCTTTGGTTAGACTGAAATTTATTTCAATACATGATGCAAAGCTATTTTTAAAAACTTATTATTGGAAAAGTCCAAAGAATAGTTTATCACATTGACATCCTTTGAAATGTGGGGCAGATCCAAGCCTTCCTAAATAGTTGAATAGTTGTTTAATTTCCCCATCCCAGTATTCTTACCCAGTAGGATTTGCCTAGAGTGCCCTTATGACACCTGTGCACCTTGGTCTCAAAAATGACCGGACCACATATGGAAGTGAAGGAGCCTTTCTTTGCCATGCATGGCAGTCATTGTTGGAACGAACTACTGAAGGAATAAGGTTGTTCACTCTCATTTCCTGAGCCACAGGGCAAGGTTAATGTGGAAGCTGAATAATGTTTCATGGTCATGTGGTTTCACTGTAATAGTTAGGTGCTGATGTACCCCTTCTCAGCACGAAGCCAAGATCATCAATGGGAAGGACTCTCATTCTCCATCAGTGAAGGGAACACTGTTTCCACATCCCATTCAGATTGAACAGATTTCATGTGCTCTCTTTTCTCATTAGAAAAAAATCAATGAATGCTCATTTTATTTAAAGGCCATTTATTCTCTTGGAGAAAACAAAACTGCAGAATCTTGATGCTGTGAGGATGTGGCTTCAGATGATGGTGGGTTTTTTTGGGAAAGAGCCAGGAGGATTGTTTCTGGAGGAGAAACGTCAGCATTTTTCTTGTGGGACTTTAATTGGAAATAGGATGGTGGTTCGGCCTAGAGAAGAGATCAAAATGAAACAAGCTGGTGTTTTCATCCTCGTCCCTTAATGGACCATAATCCTGGTCATAAAAACCCACCACTTAAACTTTGGCAGTCTTCCTTTCCCAGGAAGCTTTATTACTAAGTATTAGCTTGAGTCAAGACATAGCTTCTCCGAGCCACACTTGAGCCAAGTCTACCGATGAAGAGAATGCGTTTGTGGGCAAGTCAGTGCTTCCCTATGTTCCTGCAATAAGCTATGCGTGGTCTTCTGAGACTGCCTGACGTTTATCTGGGTTCAGAAAATATGCTTCAGCCCATTCCATACAAACCATATCTCTGGCTAACGACACAAAGGGAGTTGTGGAGAATTCTGAGCCACAGGTTTTTCCAAGAGTGGCAAGCCAATACATAATCATAAACTACTTTAGGGACTTTGACCATGCGTCGAGTGAATTCAGTGTGCTCTGGATAATCTCATGCAGAGGAGTCAGGACCTGCAGGCCTATGGGGAATGATGTTGCTAACCAGCCCTCACTCACTTATGCCTTGTGCTTGATCTGTTTGCCTTGTGCCAATCAGATCCACCCTGGGTGTTCTTGACCTTGGCATTTGGCCCTGGACATATCATAGTCAACCTGATCAGTTCCATCCAGTCTGCCAATCAGTTCTTCCTCTATGCAAGCAGCAGCATGCTGAGCATGCATCCACGGTTCTTGTTATATCCCCCAACTTCTCTCCGTAGTAATAAGTAATGGGATTTGCTCCAGTGAAGACCCATCCACGACTACTTTACGTAGCTTGAATGTCAAAAGCGGATCCATTCCAGGGACTACCTAGACTGAGAATAAGCCATTATTTCTATGATTTTAACAAAAACAATTCATGTCCAAATTAAACCCTCCCCCTTTTTTTTTGTAGGTGCAGTAAACTTCTGGTCACTCTTGTAGCTTAAAACATTTAAAAATGCACTAGAAGATGAAGTGTTTCCATTCAAGTTGACTAAGTCTTATTTTTCCAAATATATGATTAAAGCCTTAGATTTACGTTGCCCTACTTGCCCCAGAGCACTTCGCGGACCCCCCAGATGAATGCTGCATTGCTAGCCTGCATCCATGCAACAGTGGTGGGGTGAGAAGCCAGCCTGGCCCTGCCTGGCGAGCTTTCTGAGGATGAAGCAAAAATCATTTCTGTGTCTGAAATGAGACGGGGGATATTGTGTAGTCAGGAGGAAATTATCCAGGGTTGGATTTGGGCCAGGCTAGTAGGGTTCATTTGCTCCTCTTGCAAAAATTACCATCTGGTCTTTAATGACCCGGAGTGGTCAGGCTGGCATTAATTTACACCTCATCCCAGGGAAGCACCTCTGAGAATAAGCATGCCTGTTAATGTAATACGGTTCCTTGGCTCCAAGGGAAGGAAGGGTGTGGATGCTAAGTGGAGATGGGAACTGTTTGCTCAGAAGAGAATGTATTCTAGAACGAGGGCAGGAGTTCACAAAAAGGCCACCCTTCGAAATAGAAGCCAGTGAGAAGCAACACAAAGGGATGAGCCCAGACACTAGTCATGTGCTGAGTACATTGGCAACATTTACCTGTTCATTTGGCAAAGGCTTGTGGAAGGCTCACCAGGCAGCAGGCACAGCGCTAGTGGCGTGATGGCATACAGAGATGAATGGGCTGTGGTCTCTGCTCACAGCTTAGGGAGAATGTGGATGCCAGCATGTGCTTTCATAGAGGCATATTCAAGATGCTATCACAGCACTGGTAGGGCAGAAAGACTTTTCCTGGTGGTAGAAAATGTAGAGGGAATCAAAATTCAATGAATCAAAATTCAATGAATCAAAATTCAATGAATTTTTCCAAATTCAATGAATTTTTCCAAATTCATTGAAGGTAACTGAAGTGTCAGGAAGAAATGCTTCAATATGACATTTTTAAAAAGCTATAATAATGGTTTATATTCATTTGGTCCTTCCTACAGGTCAGTTGCTGTTCTAAGCACTTTACATATGTAATAAACAACATTAATCCTCCCAACAGCTCTGCAGAGTAACTGCTAGTAGTATTCACATTTTCCAGTGGAGGGAAATAAGGCACAGAGAGATGAAGCAACTTGGCCAGGGCCGACCAGATGTGGCAGAGTCTTGATTTGAACTTGGAACAGGACAGAAACTTATATAAAAAGATATGAGAAAGAAATAATACAAAATAAAAAATTATCTTGTAAAACAATACAATTTTGGTTATTAACAAAGAACTTGTATATTCTTTTCCTTTTTTTTTTTTTATTTATACTTTAAGTTCATAGGGTACATGTGTCACATGTGCAGGTTTGTTACTATGTATACTTGTGTCCGCGCCTTGAGTTGGTGCTGCTGCACCCATCAACTCGTCAGCACCCATCCAACTCGTCATTTACATCAGGTGTAACTCCCAATGCCATCCCTTCCCCCACCCCCCTCCCCAAATAGGCCCGGTGTGTGAATGTTCCCCTTCCAGAGTCCAAGTAAATCTCATTGGTTCAATTCCCATCTAAGGTGAGAACATTGGTGTTTGGTTTTCTGTTCTTGCGATAGTTTGCTGAGAATGATGGTTTCCAACTGCATCCATGTCTCTACAAAGGACACCGACTCATCTTTTTTATGGGCTGCATAGTACGCCATGGTGTATATGTGCCACATTTCTCTGAATACAGTCTGTCGCTGGTGGACATTTGGGGTTGATTCAAGTCTTTGCTATTGTGAAGTAGTGCCGCAATAAACATATGTGTGCATGTGTCTTTAAGCAGCATGATTTATATCTCTTGGATATATACCAGTAATGGGATGGCTGGGTCATTACGTATTTTTAGTTCTAGATCCTTGAGGAATCACCATACTGTTTTCCACAATGGATTGAACCAGTTTACAATCCCACCAACAGTGTAAAGTGTTCCTATTTCCTCACACACTCTCCCAGCACCTGTTGTTTCCTGCCTTTTTAATGATTGCCATTTAACTGAATGTGAGATGGTATCTCATTGTGGTTTTGATTTGCATTCTCTTGATGACCAGTGATGACAAGCATTTTTTCATGTATCTGTTGGCTGTATCATGTCTTTTTTGAGACAATACTGCTTCATATCCTCTTGCCCACTT